AGAGTCGTCTGCCATTCCTCATCTCCGGAAAGTCAGCATTTCGGTTTCCACAAGATCCCTCGCTGCATTGTATTCCTCTCTATGACGGGGATACAATATTCGCAAGAACATTCGGTTCATCCTATTTTTGTCCCTGATTGAATTTATCAAATAGATACGAAATTCATTTCTGAAAATGATATTTTGCTGTCTAGAGTTATTAGCTGATGCAGTGGACGAGTCTTCCAAAGGAGAGAACAGCACCCTCTATCATTTCAACAGACGTGAGTTCCTCCTGGGGCAAGATCATGTCATCCAACTCTAACCAATGAATTTTGGTGGCTTCATGAGAGTCAATTTGATGGTCGTGATCCCCCAACACAAGGACCACCGGATTATGATCGGAACACAAGGACCTGACAGTTTCAATTTCAAAAAACCAAGGCAAGTCCATATCCAGGATATCTGCAGTCATCCTCTTATGTATCCAGGTTACAATGGCATGCGGGAAGATAAAAAGTACAGCATTCGATTCAGCTTCTTGTACCTTCTCCAAATATGTAAGCAAATTTTGGAAATTCTAAAATGCAAGGTGTTCTTTTTGGGGTCCAGAAATATGATCAATTTTCGTTGATCCAGACCTGTATTTTTCTCATGACTGATTGGTAAAGATGGAATTGTGTACCAAATTCCAAAAGAATATAGTGGGTGGTTCTCAAATTATGTCCTCAGGAAGAATTCAGCAAAATTGATAAAACAACCTATATCTCGGACATAAACTTGTGAAACCCCACAAATATGGTATATTCAGAGCCACTTTTGAATTATGATTTCCAGTGGCGAAGTTACGATCGCCACATTCTCCTTCATATTTTTTTCTCAGACAGAAGAAATTTCAAATTGATTTGTGACATCAGTTAGTCTCATTGATACTTCACCTGAAAGTAATAGCATTTGACATGCCTAAATCTAGAGGTTCCTGAGATATTAGCTGAAAAATTGAGTAGAGACCGAATTTGCTGCGTGCTATAATCGCATAACGTTGATTTCTCACAGGATATCAGGAAGTTTCTAAATCTCCTAAATGTCATTTTCGAATGTTGAGGACATTGAAAACATAGTACGGGTGAGTCAGAAGTTGGTCGACAAACTGACGTTTTATTGCATTACTTATCTCAAAGTGAACAGTTTATTTTGACAACTAAGAAAAATATATCGAAAACTGGAACCTTTGGCACGATAATACACTACACTGTTTTACCACTAACCAAACCGATTTTTTAACGCCTCGACACGTGTTTCGCTAACTATGTTAACTATCTTCAGAAGATGCTAACATAGTTAGCGAAACACGTATCGAGGCGTTAAAGAATCGGTTTGGTTAGTGGTAAAACAATGTAGTGTAACTAAGAAAAAGCCAATGCTTGAAATGGACTGAAATTTTAAATAAATATGCGAAGCTCAGAGTCAATTCCACAAATGTTCATAAATGAACGAAATTGGTAGATAACTACAGAAAAACAACTACTTTCCTGCATATATGCCACGCAGAACATTGAAATACATCCTTCCGAAATCTATGCAATAATCCGTATAGGCGAATAAAATCGCAAGTATTTCCTTCCAAAACTCCGAGCTGCGCTTTAGTGGATCTTTAACGCTTGACTACCTGCAGACCAGTTTCGAGCTTTTGGCTCTCATCAGTGTAGGGCTGTCCCAGATAGCATTCATGACCGCTATCTGGTGCGATTGGTGCGAACCTGACCCAACGTAAACGCATCTCAGCATTTATTATCCAAGAGGCGTGCGGCATCCGTAAGGACACGAACGCCACCTTATATTAATGACTTGACTACGATAGATATATCTGGCAGCTTTACTCTTTTTGCGGATGATACAACAACATTGTGGAAGGAAAAGAACTCGGCAGAGCTACATAAAATGATATCATCAGATGTAGAAAAGGTAAAAAATTGGTGTGATGCTAATTTGTTATCCTTGAATATCTCCAAAACAAAAATAATAACATTTAAATGTCTGCTAAATAAACTCTCAATAGGCAATGATATCTTGGAAAATAGACTAAACACAAAATTTCTTGGTGTATTCATTGATAGAAAGCTTAAATTTGAAGACAACGTTAGACAACTCAAGAGTAAAATCTCATCCGGATGTTATGCAGTGAGAATGGTTTCTAATGAGTTGGGTTTTTACACAGCAAAAACGGCTTACTACGCTTTAATTGACTCTCAAATAAGATATGGAATACCTTTTTGGGGAACATGCGGTGCAACCCTTCTCTCTTCTGTGTTGATATTACAGAAAAGGGCTGTAAGGTGTCTCTGTAAGGTCAAACCTAGGGATTCATGCAGGAATTATTTTGCTGCCTATAAGATTTTAACTGTCGTTGCACTGTTTATTCTTGAAACTGTATGCCTGGTATACAAACACAAAACGGAGTTTGACTTTGTTTCTTCTCCGTATGCTACTCGTAATAGCATAATATCAGACTTCCCATACCCAATTCAACATTAATCAAGGATTCCATTTTTTATAATGGTGGAAAGCTTTTCAATCACTTACCAGTAGATATAAGATCTGCAAATCTGACCAATGTGCATTTTAGGAAAGCAGTGAGAAATTTGCTAGCTGATAGACCCATTTATAGCCTACAAGAGTATTTTAATGAATCCTTTTGAAAATATGTGTAATCTGTTTTACTTTTATTGTATTTGTACTTGATTTATTCTAAAATTTTTTGTTACTTATCTGTTCATATCTATACACTATTAGTTATGTTTATATTTACATGTACTTACAAACCTTTGTCAATGGGATGCAAAATCTTCTGACAATAAAGAATATTTGAATTTGAAAAAAAAAATTTGAATTAGCAAAAGGAAAGAAACACTCCAGAACAAAGTCCCATGAAATACTAGTGGATGGTTGTCTGACTGGCATGATTTCAACTAAGAAAAAAACAAAACCAAAATGCAAAAAGGAAAATAAAAGTTGAATGAATACGCGAAGCTCAAAGTCATTTCCACAAATGTTCATAAATGAACGAAATTGGTAGATAACGAGAAAAAACAACTACTTTCTTGGCTATATGCCACGCAGAACATTGAATTACATACTCCCGAAATCTATGCAATCATACGTATAGACGAATAGAATTGTAAGGGTTTCCTTCCTGAACGCCGAACTGCGCTCAAGTGGACCAGGAACGCTTGACTACCTGCAGAGCGGTTCCGAGCTTTTGGCTCTTATCAGTGCAGGGCTGTCCCAGATAGCATTAATGACTGCTATCAAGAGGCGTACGGCATCCGCGAGAAGGGCACGAACCTGTGCAGAAGGAAAGAAACACTCAAAAAACAAATTCCCATGAAATAGGAGTGGCTGGTTGCCCGACTGGCATGATTTCAACTAAGAAAAGGTCAAAATGGTCAAAATACAAAATACCCAGCGAGCACAAAAACATCTCAGAGATGTTGAAATTACGAGATTTCGAGACATTGAACCTCCACTGCGATGTTCTGTTCACACATGAATAGAACTATTATAGAACAGCCAATGCCTGCCTCAGGCGGCAATTATCGAGATGTCCTTGATATGTCACAAAACTACCTTCTCCCTAGTTCTTTTTAAAGCATTTTCATGGACACAACAGAACATTTTCAACGTGTCTTGCGCTGTAAAAAACATTTTCGAGGTACTTTTCTGAAGCCTTTTGTCAAAATGAACTTTTGCATTAGGATTCCATTTCCCTTGAATGAGAAAATGCATTAAAAATAGATTGAACATAAAAATATTTTCTTGATATGAAATTACCTTCTTAATCGGTTTCTGTGTAGTGCTTACTACACACAGACATATAATTGGAAAAAGGTTTCCCAATTTTTTAAATGTTCTCCACAATGCATAATTTTGCAACTGCGGAGAAGCTGTGTATTGATGAATTCGTACTTTTATATATTGATTAGGTACACTGAGGCACCGAACAACACATCTTGCATCTGATGGTCATTATTACAAACTAAATAGGTCTTCCAACACAATAAACTTCACCAAATTCCTTTCTGTTCTTTAGCAGCGTGATGTAAGCGTGACACGCTGCAAACGCGAATGCCAATTGCGAACAAGAAGAACAAAATCGAAAACAAATCAGAATTCATCGTATTGTGACGTAAGCATGAGACGTTGTGGTGGGGCAAACAAAGAAAGGGCACAAAATAACAAAAACAATACTTTCAATATCCTTCTAAGACCTCTTTGGGAAGTGCTTACGCCTCAAAAAAAACATCCTCATGCCAACATTTCTAAAACATCCCAAAACATCCCAGGGATACCTCTCAGTAGGCAAACAAAGAAATGCCACAGAAGAACAAAAACAATACTTCAATATCCTTCAAAGACCTACTCTTTGGTCAGTGCATATTACGTCTCAAAATAACATCTTCATACCAACATTTTCAAAACATCCCAAAACATCCCAGGGATGTTTGTGCTCGCTGGTTACTTTCACCCAATCAAGGGGTTCAAACTTGAACGATGGAAACTTGATATTTTTATAGACCTCAATCGCAGATTCGTGATTAGGTTTTCTCAATTCAGAATTTCTTTCCACGTCCTGTATGATGAATATCAATTTATCATACATCCAAAAACAAATGTTATAAAGTATTTTTGTGCGGCAGGTTGTGTTCTAGTGGGGCAGCTGCCCATCCCCCTGCTCCTCGCTGAGTACGCCCTTGGCGTTGGATCCGAAGACACACTGAGTATGACACCCTATTCTTTGCCCTTTGCGCCTGCTAGATCAGGCCAATCGATATAGTACACAATTTCCATGTGCAGTTGAATCGCTGAATTTAGCAAAGCAACTGAATTCATATCTAGGCTGTGCAGTCAGACGTTCGTAGTTATTTATATTTATCAGCGATTTCCTTTGATTTTTTATTTATCCATTCACATACATAATAATATCCTGCAGTAATAGTTTTGAGAACTGCGTGCACCGCAATAGTCATCCGAGATAATGGGAAAACCCCTGCAAACTGTTGCTGCAATGGCCTGCATGAAGAGTCTTTTGATGGTATTCAATTTCATCTTTTGGGTGAGTTCTATATTCACAATGTATTCGTATTTATTCCACTGAGAGATACATGAATCATAGTATTTTAAACAAGGTGTTATATTGCAGCATATGGTGCACTTCCTTTTAGATATGCGCCGTAAAAATATGTCTATTATAAGACTTCAATGATTTAATATTTCATTTGATATGCAGAAACTGTATTTGAATTAAATTTCACTATTTGAGCAGTTACTCCTACCATAGATTATGCTTTATGCTCCTACAGAGATATCATATGTGACCAATATTATGTTTTCCTTCCATGTGTCAGGAGGATGTGGAAATCTTCATTAGAAAATTTCGGAAATCTGTTTCCTTTATAATGAAACATATTCATTATGCCGTCAATTTTGGGTTTCTCCTCCAATTTTTTTCATTTTCTATATTCCAAAGAACTTTAATAAGTTAGGTACTTTGCTATACATATAATATATGTAGAGTCATAAACTTAAATTTTTCAATAAGATACACAGTACGTATACCATGGACATACGAAATTGGAAACTCAGTATAGAATTTCATGTTCAGTATATATTATAAGATTTTTCTACTATCACATTATACGAACTATATTTATGTATATGACTACAAAAAAACTGTTCCATATGTTCAGTAGATAGAATGTTCTGTCACGCTTCTCAGAAATTGATAACTGTTTTCCGAGGAAATATATAAAATGTCACATTTTGGAATCTCCCTTGCAATAAAAAAACTTCGAAAAGAACAATATCAATGAATGTGAATACTGGAATTATTATATTATTAATATTATTGAAATTACAGGAATATACTAGATAATTATGTAAACGAAATTTGAAAGTACGAACCTGTGAAAACACACTGAAGTGTTACTCAATATACTCAATGAGTATATATCAGAACAGAATAATCGAAAATATAAAATCTAGAATATTTCATTTTTTACCATTCACACACAAAAAAATAGTTATTTATCATACAAGGGAAAAAAGTAGTAGATTTTAGAAAGAACGAATCAATATTGAGAAGATATTACATTATTTTGAAATCTGAAAATTATCGACGTGACATTTCAAGTTTCTAACAGTAGGGACACCTGCGTTGTAGGGATCTTTATCATTCTTTTGAAGTAATCAAATATCTGATGTCACTTCTGTCAGTCTAATTCTGTGATTTGATTTCAAAAAATTGCGAATTTAGTGGTTGTTTAGTAATATACGTAACGACGAAGTCGAATGGAAGATAAAAGGGCTTGCAGTTCTTTCTCGGAGACGGTATTATTGACTCATTTTTCGGAAGCCATCAACAGTGTATATATATGTGATATATTTCCGGGAAAAAGTACTCACTATTTTCCCACTGGAAAAAAGTAATTTATGAAAAGTGACATTTTATAACCTGCCAACAGAGATGAAATGCCAAACTTTTTTCCCGTCACAGAAAAAATATTTTTTTTAACCAACAAAATATGCCAAAATATGCTTCACTTCAAGCATATGGTTTGTTTATATATACTCAAATCAATATTTTCTCAATACCAGAGATTCATATGTGCAGAAAATTACTTTCAAAATGGAACAATATACTTTTGAGTTGAGAAGATTAGGGTATCCTCATGTAAACAATTCAAATATTTCATACAATTGAAAAAAACAATTCATTTGAGCCAGGTATATGAAATTGTTATTTCTATACTTTAACAATATTGATTTCTTGCTTCAATACGATTATTTCTGACTAAGAAGTAAAACTACTTGGTGTAACAATAAATATATTGGTTTGAACCAAAGATGTCGAATTATTTCAATGAAGAATACAGTGTGTCCCACTTACCATGCTCACCATGGGCATCTTTTTAACGGTGAGAGATACGAGGTCGGTTAAATGACACCAAATGTGGAGTTTGTCAAGGCCAACTATAATGTGAAAAAATATTTTGATAAAATCTATTCGTTTTTGTTTTATACGCAAAAAACAAATTTTGATCATATTCATGTATATATCCTCCGTAACTTCTTTATTTATGAAAATATTCAAATAGAAATTTCACATTCTCGTGGCAGTTTTTCAAAGTGATTTCGAAAAACATATGAAATTTATACCAACTCTTCTAGAATTTGAGATATCAGCACCAACTTTAGTTTTCCAAATGTAGGTCATAGCTCACTATGACTTAGTTACAAATAACTTTTTTTTCTCTTACAGATGATATGTCGCAGTAATAGTTTTGTGCTGATAACAACGGAGTTATCGTCATTTATACCAAAACAAAAAATAATTTGCAAGCCGCCATCTTGAAATTCCATTACTCAGATTAACTTGAAATTTGACAGGTGTTCATAATTTCGGTGACAATACACTATGGAATTTTTGTTGAAATTAAAAAAAAATGGCTGCACCAAGATGGCGGACAAGAATTGGTCCGATTCCATTCAAAATTGGTAAGTGGGGGTTTTTGAGGTCGGAGATCATTATTTTTTTGATAAAATTTATAAATTCAAGATGGCGGCCTCGAAATAATTTTTTGTTTTGTATAAATGACGATAACTCCGTTGTTATCAACACAAAACTATTACTGCGACATATCATCTGTAAGAGAAAAAAAGTTATTTGTAACAAAGTCATAGTGAGCTATGACCTACATTTGAAAAACTAAAGTTGGTGCTGATATCTCGAATTCTAGAGGAGTTGGTATAAGTTTCATATTTTTTTCGAAATCACTTTGAAAAACTGTCATAAGAATGTGAAATTCCTATTTGAATATTTTCATAAATAAAGAAGTTACGGAGGAGACATGAAAATGATCAGAATCTGTTTTTTGCGTATAAAACAAAAACGAATAGATTTTATCAAAATATTTTTTCACGTTATAGTTGGCCTTGACAAACTCCACATTTGGTGTCATTTAACCGACCTCGTATCTCTCACCGTTAAAAAGATACCCATGGTGAGCATGGTAAGTGGGACACACTGTATAATTAAATGACATTCCTACCTTAGACTTTATAGCTGTCCAAGTGATCGCTGTCGGTGAGATGGAAGATGAAGAAAATATTGAATAATGTACTTATATTGCTGTTTGATACAAAACTCGATATTTCTTCAAAACAAAATAATAGAAAATTCAAATGAATAAATCAATAGATGATAAATATTGAATCAAGATGACAGTGTATTTGATAAAAGAATCGAAATTTTTTTAGAAGAGAATTTAAGAATTCTTAAATGAAGTATATGTATTCTTGAGTGAAGCAATAAATTCGAAGAAATTGAAATATTGATTTGAGTAGAGCGAAATGCTATTTTCAAGAATATTTATTCAGAATTACAAAATATATTTTCATTCGGAGTAATTCTTTCTGAAAAAATATTTATTTTCTTGGAACGAAAAATCTTTTTTATGTGTGCAGTCCAAATGCAAGAAAAACATTCATGTTAGAAATTTTGGGTAGTCAAATTGTGTACGAGATAATGGAAATAGTTATTTGTTTTACTAGGCAGCAAAGTAGTAGATTGACTGCCGCGGCTGATATCTAACGTTGCTGCCATGCCATAACTTTTTCTCCAAATGTTATAAAAGCAACTAGAGTCCGACCACGTTAACTTTGGGACAGCATGTGATGCAACGCATATGCATATTCAATGCATACGTGACCACGTGCTGTCCCAAAGTTATCGTGGTCGGACTCTACGAAATAGCCACAATGCTCAAAGTGGAATGAAATGTTAAATGAATACAAAAAGATCAAAGTCTGCACCTACCAGACTTCCCTCCCAGACTTTAATTATCTGACAATACAGAATCAGATCCAAATTAAATCTGTTACAACCATTAAATACCTCGGAATAATGATCGATTCTCATTTGAGATGGAATCACTATGTGGACTATGTTGGGAGAAAACTGAGATGTGTTTCGCCGAATCCAGTACATATTCGACCTAAAATACTCTACCATAGCCTCGCTCAGAGTCACATAACATACTGTATAGTGGGTTGGGGAGGAATCTCAAAAACCTACCTGGAACCACTAGAGATGATACAAAAAAAATTCTTGAAGCTGATAATAAATAAACACTCTAGGTATGCAACTGAAAAACCGTATAATGAAACAAACATCCTAGATATAAGACAACTACACTATAAAGCTCTTAAAGTGAAACAATTCAAAGGAAAGAATCAGCTAATAAATAAACAACAGATATATTCAACACGAAATAAAAACCAATACCTGATATCTTTTGCTGCCAAATCTATAGGGCAAAAATCACATGAATTCCTAGGTCCGAAAGTAATCAACACACTACCACATGATATAAAAACTATATATTCCCTCTCCATGCTGAAAAAAATTGTAAATCAGTACTTATATGAAACGCCTCGTCTGTCAATTCATGACATAATAGACAATTCGGAAAAAAAACATTATTATTTAAAGTATTTCAAATATTTTTATATATTAGTACATATCGTTATAGTAAAACAGATAATATTAGTTTAGTATATATTAAGGTAGGTATGCACTAGGTCGATTTGTTCTATTATGATTTTTTTTCTCTAACATTCAAACCACGCCCACAAGCCCTCTGTCTTCGCAGTGAAACTGAAGTTTATAATACAGAGTGGGCCTTTGAAAACGAAACAGAGGCTCTGTAGGTCGCCAAAACCGGATTATCAAAAAAAAACTGAAACAGGTCAACTACATTTTCGAGGGGGACATCTTTCTAAAATATTTTCAGTTCTGCGGCGTTGCCGCTTCTAAAGAAAAGAAGCAACAACTTTGTTATTTCAAATGGAACACCTTGTATTTTATTGCATTTTTAGATTCTCCCCGAAGAGCTGATTTCATCAATGCATCACACTTGGGGTCTAGCTGTAATGGTTTCAGGGATATAAAGTGTTCAAAATCGAGATTTTTCAACTTTAACATTTTTTTGTGTCGAAACTATTCATTATTGGTCGAAACGACTCCCATGTCCCTATCCCAACTTGTGATTCACTATCTACTAACATTCAATTGGAACAGATACAGGGTGATCAGAATTTTGAATCTTGAACACCACCCTGTATTTGTTTCAATTAAATGTCAGTAGATAGTAAATCACAAGTTGAGATAGGGACATGAGAGCCGTTTTGACCAATAATAAATGGTTTCGACACAAAAAAATGTTTAAGTTGAAAAATCTCGATTTGTATGAAAAAATGTTGTGCTAAGAACTACGTCTAGCAGGATATTCTGTGCAGAATCCAGTGGAGTACTCAATTTATTTTTTGCTTCTTCGGGTATGATATTGAAGTTCACGACACAAATTTATATCTGTATCTTCAATGAAGCATTCTGTACTTTCCAATTTATCTTATTCTATTGATACATTTTTATACGCAACCAAGATTATATTCATGTATATGTGGTCTGAAATTTTGTAGAAGTAATAATTAATGTTTTCCAATAAACCATGTTCGATCCAACTCTGTAGTTCAATTAATTGATTGTTATCTGATGGCATGTCATAATGACAACGTTATGTCACTCAATTTTGATGACATAAGGAAGCTCATTATGGGACTAAGTACCATAATGAATTCATTATGGGACTAAGTACAATAATGAATTCATTATGGTACTAAGTACCATAATGAAATTCTATAAGGAAAACATGTAATGGTTTGATCAAAAAAGTTTATTCAAAATGCATAACTATGTACAAAACTATTTATTATAAATGGTAAAAGAACAATTACTACAATTTGTAATATTAATATAATGGCAAAGCACAGCTCACTCACCTACTAATATTTGAAACTACACAATACTTACTCCTTCAAAAATAGTTGTCATTGTGACATGTCGAAAATGCAGTTTTTAATTTTTCGAAAATGTATTGATATTAATGCCATCAGATAAAATTTTGTATGTAATACGAATCATAAACAATCATTATGGCACAAGCCGTGTTATCGGACTCGGCTACGCCTCGCCCGATAACATTCACGACTTGTACCATAATGATCGTCTTTATGATCCTTATTACATAAATAACTATTATATCACTGATGTTTCGATCACTCGATTCTTCGATCAATTGATTGTCAATCAAGTGGAGTTTGATCAAATGATTTCGATCAGAATTCCAGTACCTAACCCTTCCATTTTTCAGGTATCTGGTATTGCCATTCTGGCAATAGGAATATGGATGGAAGTTGAATTGTACAAGTATATGGAGATGAGTACTGAATTCAGCGGCACAGCTCCTTATGTATTGATCGGCATTGGATCTTTGATAATCCTCATAGGCTCCCTGGCTTGTTGTTGTACCGTTAAAGGACAGCCCGTCTTGCTTTATGTGGTAAAGTAAATAATGATGTATTAAAAACGTATGCATGACCGGGCGTAAAGTAGCACTTTACCGCCCGCGGACTACTTCATCGCCCAGCGTATAGGTAACTCGTATTAGGCATTCCTGCATAATTCAGACATTTATGCACAAGCGGGCCGTTAAGTGCTCTTTACCGCCCAGTTTTGTGGGCGTTAAGTCGCACTTTACCGCCCGCGGGCTCATTATGGCCCACGGGCCGTAAAGTGCACTTTACCGCCCGCTGTTCTCAGTCACCTTATATCCACATATCAATTCATGAAAAATGTATGATCATATTCCTAGATTCTAATATATCCAGCGGTATATCATAAACTTCTTCTTTATCCGATTCCATAGTCTCGCTATTATTATTATCATGCACTAATTTTACTTTTCAGTCAAAGAATGACAATTCAGCTCGTTTATTGGATGTATTGCTATTGACAACAACCATCAGATTGATTGACAACGTCGAAATTAAATAAGTTAGGTTTATATACTGGGTATGCATATTGTAAAACTCTGAAGAATGAATCTCTTCTAGAGCTGAAAGAGTTTTACTATTACGATAATTGCAATATTCGTACGATAATTTTCATATGTAAATCATCCATGAACATCACGCTTCTCTTGATTACTGAATTAATACGTAACAAATTAAATTCTGGGGAATATTAGTTTGTCGAAATCTATAGTCATTACTAATGAGTCAGAAAATAAACCACTAGTGCATAAAATTTTGTATGTATCTCGTGCGTGAAATGCGTTTATGGCCTTCAGCGTGTAATGGCCCTCGGCTAGCGCCATCGGGCCATTATTCACGCCACAGGCCATAAACGCCTACTTTACGCCCTTGATACATAAATAACTAATATGTTCGATGGGGCATTTCGCTGAGTGAAATTGTGTACACTAATTCCTCAATGCCAAAATAATGCCTCATAAAACAATATACATATTGACTAGTAATACCTAATAATTTCTCGTAATGCCTCACGATTCATCACAATTCTTCTTAATTCTTCACAATTCCTCGTAATTCCTCTCAATTTCCCCGGCAATTTTTCGCAATTCCTCGGTAGTTCCTCGTAAAATCTCATAGGGATATTATGACCAGGTAGCCACCAGAGCGTTCGCTTGCCAGTCGTGAATTTAATTCCCCGCGACTGCAGACATTTTTCTGATGGCCCAAGAAAGTGTTTGGGATCACACGTTAAAAGGTAAGCCCCCCCCGTCACTTCTTGCTCGCACAAGTCTCTCGAAGACTTCTGAGTGTTGCTCGTGAGGAGGCAACCGAATGACGATTAGAACAACAATTTTAGAAATGATTTTTTTATGCTTGACAACACAATTCCAATACCTACCTACCTCCTCTCACTATCCTCCCTAAATACGCAAGATGTTTTTCGAATATCATAATGATTCCTTTTCGTGCGCTCCAAGTGAGAAAATCATGTTAAATATGAAATAATGTTGTTCGTATCCAAATCTGAACTTGGAATACAGTGTATATACGGTGTTCTATTCCAAAAGATACATGTAGCCCAGCATTTATAATATATAGGGTGGCATTGAAATAATTGCAAATATTTCAAACACTGAGAAAGCTCGACGTGCACTATCGAATAGCACTAATAAAAAAAAAAGGAATCAAAATAAAATTTGAGGTTAGACACCAAAGTTCTACACTGTAGCAAATCTGACGTCACCGCCGTTCAAATTTCCATGAAAGTGGCGATTATGGGAAGAAATTTCTCGTTAATTATTAGAATTAGAAAAAATCTGATATCATGGGAATATATTCCTCAGACTGTATCATATTAATGTGCTGAATATGTGCACTTATTTCAAAAACACCTTGTATAATGTGTATCTCGGTGTGTATACATATACCGAGTGATTTTCCAAGGTTACATATGCTCAATGAGTGTGACAGAAAAAGAAGTTTCGATATTGCGCCGTCACACCCATTGAAGATATGGAGTCATTTCCGGTCAAATCGGAAGTAGGCCAAGTCGCCAAAGCAAAAAGATATAACCCAATGAGCACAGTGACGTTGAAAAAACGTTGAAAAATGGTTTGAAACCGAAATTTTATAAGGGGATTTCTCAAACGTTGATTCAACGAAAAAATGTCGCAAGATAAGACGTTTCTTTCAACCAAATCGCCTACTAAAAATAAACGTATTTTGAGAACGTATTTTCAACTTGAGTATCAACGTGACATAAACGTAATGTTTCGACGTTTCATAATTGTCGATAATAAAGGGTTATTCAACGAATAATTGACGTTTGAAAATTACGATTTGAACAACTTGATAAAATAAGATTTTTCAACGTTTACGTAGGATCAATTTTAAGTCGTCCAATTTTCGTTATTTTTGTGTCCACAATGAATTTATTATCATTTTTATATTTATTGCAATTATCATTATTATAACTCACTAACCTGATATGTGTCCATGTATTTCCTTTCTGTTCCACTTCCTCCTTAGTGACGTACCTATCTTCACGTATCTGATGGTGTGAGCGTCGGCGAGATGTAAACGGAAAGAATACACGTTGTCTAATGACGATTATCTAACGTTGTTAGAAAACATATATTACACGCTTTTTTTTCTACCAACCGTTATCGAATACTTTTAAAAAAACGCTTAAGTAACGTTCATTTCAAGAGTTCAATAAACGTTTTGAATAAATGTTAGTTGACCGTGAGGACTTTGCCGGATCGATGGAAAGTAGTTTTGTATCCATGTAAAACACACGTTCTCAAATGACGGATGATATAGAATATAGTTTAACGACAACTTCTATAACACGTTGTTGAAAAACGTTTTATTCACGTTCTTCTTTCACTCTCGGTCAGAAAATCTTGACAGATTCGCGTTACAGAAATGTTTATTTCGAACGTCTGACAAACGTTTCGGAGAAACGTTTTATAAATGCATAATTTCAACAGATCGTCAGGACATGTAGTTTTCGATACGTTTATAAAACGTTCAGATTCAACTTCGAATACTTCAACCATATTTCAACGTTAAATTTCTCAACCATAAACGTCTATCTTACTTGTTTTACGTTGATAATACGTTGAAAACACGCACGTGTGCCCATTGGGGTTAGTTCTAAAAGTTCATATTAAACGTTACCAAAAAACGTTACTACGCAGCAGTTGATTTTTGTTGAAAGAATGACGTTGAAAAAAGATCATTCCAAGGGTTTAACAAAAGTTCAACTATGAGTTGAAACATAGTTCAACAAGTTATGATAAACGTTGTTAAATGAAGGCTGGAAAATGTAGTTGAATAACGTTTCCTTCACGTTTTTTCCCCACTATCATTCAAAAAATGATGAAGGATTCGCGTTGAAGAAACGTTTATCTCAAAATTTTGTCTAACGTTTTGGGAAAACGTTTTATAAATGTACGAATTTCATGGATCGTTAGGACATATCGTTTTCAATACGTGTATTAAACGTTTAGATTTACCGATATTCTCTTCAACCATATATCAACGATAAATTCCTCAACCATAAACGTCTATTCAACCTGATCTACGTTGATTAAACGTTTACAAAACGTACGTGTGCCCATTGGGAAAGTTATTAGGGCCATTTCCGGTCAAACCGGAAGTACAGCAAGTTGCCAAAGCATGTAGATACGTCACAAAATATCAAATGAACTATAATTCACAACTCTCGAATTTCGTTTCACTACCTTCAATGATAAAAAAGTTGTTGAAGTGAGCGAGGGGATGAACCACCTCGGAAAATCAGTCGATACCTATACGAGGTCAACCAAACTGAAATCCTGAATATCTCCTGAAATAATGATTTCTAGGAGAAACCAAAATACACCTCGAAAATGATATACAAGGGGACACAATTCGTCATAGGTATCCTTGTAGTAACATTAACCCCCTACTCTCCCCGATAATGTCGCTCAAATTGTCTTTAATATATCTTACATCTTCGGTTAGAGTTCATCATTATCAGCATGGAAGCTCAGTAATAATCAACACTTCCAATTCGAACGGTCCAATTAATTCCAAAGAGAATATTATCTTCTTCTACCTCTGATGCTGTCTGACTTCCTAGGTACTTACAGTTATTTCTCCAGAAACTTCATTTTATGTATGATACACATGAATGCCGTGGTGTTCTCTCCCTAGCTTGAGAGATTACTGAAAATCCATGTTTTCCGGTAAGGCAACACGCGATATGTGACGTAATCGAGGTGTTCACGCATGCGTTCATAATTCCTCACAATTCCTCAAGATTCCCCATAATTCCTCATTATTCCTTGAAATGCCTCTCAATGTCTCGCAATTCCTCTTGATTCCTCTCAGTTCCTGTGTACACTAAAATTCCTCAGTCAAATGCCCCTCGTTTATGTTTTAGTTGGGTAATATCACAGATTTCTTGATATTTCTGAGATGCAAGATGCTCCGCATCGTGCATCAAACTTCAAACGGGGGAGGAAATTGATACAGTTCCTCCCTTGATATATAAATAGCTATTACACCCTTGTTATACATATGATTTTTCCGCCTCCCTCAAATAATAAGTCATTTGAAAGAAGTCTTTAGGACACTATAACAAACAAAATTTTTAGAAGAACTGAAATCAAGAAGTAGGTATACAGTATAACTCATAGGCACGTAATTTTCTTTCTTGCATCCTACATATTTTTATCTTATGGTAGAGTAATTGAATCTTGAACCACCCTGTATCTTTTCCGATTGAATGTCAGTAGATAGTAAATCAAAAGTTAAGATAGTGTTATGTAAGCCGATTTGACCAACAATGAATATATTCGGCACAAAAAAAATGAATAGGGGTGTTTGAATGCAAGAGGTGGGGTAGTAGCAATTTTTTATTATGTTTTTAGGTTTGAGCCCTATAATGATAAATCCAAGACTGAACCTCGAGGTCCATGCGCTCGAACCGCCTTCTTGGATTTTATGTACAAGCATTCGTTATTTTGATAATAAC